GTAGTCACTTTATTGCACCTGCCTAGAACGGATGAGCCACACCTAATTATGGTTCAGTCCATGCATGAGCTTATTCGTAATTGACGTGCGCTCGGAGCTTCCGAGCGAATTGTGTGGTTTCTACGGATCGATGCTTGGGTGGCAAATTATTGATTATGTCTCCAGTTTGATCGTTACGCTCGAATCAAAAGGTTACCAGCGCTTGGCCGCTTACAATACGCATATAGTATAAAGTTTGACATTTTGAACACAATGCTTAACGATTGTCCTACGTGTGACCACGTTAGGCTATGCATTCAAAGAGAAATTTCGCTGAAAATTCTGTGGCAAGGGAAAAACCCCGACAGTTAATCGACTAGCGATTATCACGATGTCGACAGTTCATGTTCCGCTCCGCAGGTTAGTGATTAGAGTGAGCATAGTTATAGTTCCAGTTGTTCATCAGCCATACTGAATTTACCGGGGCTTATGAAAACGCACGTACTAAGTGGATGGAATGCGGAAGCGCAGAGACGCCTACCAGAGATTGTATTGCACAGGCCCAATCTGTTGGATAGACGAAGTAAACTGTTAAACCCAACGGGAATGGTACGTCAGTGTATTAGTATATTACATCGGAAAGCAATCGGCGCATAGCGACAACCGTTTTATGAGCACCAAATGGCTGCACCCGGAGACGTACGATGCAGATCTCTATCAAATAGCTTATGGTCACAGCAGAGTACACATCGGTATGTACAAACGGTTGAATACTTGGACATTTGCAAAACAATCCGAACACTATTTGGAAAGTCGCATGTTTGACAGTGGGCAGCGGGACTTAGTTGATGTCACCTGTCAATATCAAAGGTTGCGCATCAATCGTTCTTTGAAAATTTGTACGTACCTCGGGCACCAGATGACCGGACCGATGGGCGACACGGAGAGCCAGAAGTGGACACTCCATCGCATTCGCATGCTGTGCGATCTCCCCCATCCGTTACGCAAAACAGACTGTACATGTAGACGGCAACACCTAAGTGCAGACTATTTTACTGTACCAGTAGTTTATTTATCCTTCTACCTAGCAGTTGCTTCACTATTGCTATATCGGGTTCCTTCAAATCCGGATACACAAGATTTAAGGCTATCACGTCTAGATGTTGAGGAAAACATCAACAGTTCGTATTGAGTAGTTATTCTCATGCCATTGAAAGTGGTTGTTAGCCTGATGTCCAAACGAAACCCCTACACGTTTGTCGTACCATTGATCATGTGGTCTCATGTGTCTCTATCCAATTTGTGACAGCTCACACTAAAATTTGCATAAACGCATGTGCATATGTTGTATTCGAACTGCCATTGGACACGATGACCCCAATGCATGTATATATGTATACCGAATGAATTCGACGAGGATACTCATACCGCTTTTGTACGGCCAACTTAGTGCAGGGAAACGGCACTCGGGCAAACCGAAAATAACATTACCAGAACATGAAGAAGGTGCGTTTATGACAAACTCATGTTGATTTCAGGTGTTGCGAATCCAAGGCAAATTTTGATCGATGCGAATTCCGTGGACTACTATAAAGGGCGGTTACTCAGGTGCAGGAGAAGGCACTAATGGATGCGGAATAGAAGCATGATGCGTACGCTCCCATTCGATTTACTTATCCAGGCCAATAAGGCGGCGTATGTGATACGTTTGCCTGCGTGATGAGTAATCTTGCATTTCAGAAGTAGATGTTGCTTGAGCTCCCCGGTGTGGCTGCACCTGATATGAATGTTGACAAGGTGCCTACCTCTCTATTGCCCACTACCACTTCTATACTGGCTCCAGGAAACAGTTGGTTGTTGCTGGTGGGAACGGGGTGCACCGTCCTCATGACCGTGCTAGGCTCAAAGAGTGGTTCCATCCTGTGTGGAACGGGCTACGGTCCAGCCACTGCCATGTGTACGTCTGGTGTGCATGATTTCCCAATTAGGCCGGAATGCTTCTGTATTGCTTGTTGAAGGAGTGTCGGCCGGCTCCGTTGATGAAACGTGACTCCCATTCACATGCGTCCCAGTCTTATTCCTTCGGGTTTACACTGGATATGGGGTGTATGAGTGGTGCAGCGCAAGCCACCCATGGCCCTCTGTAGGCGCAGGCGTCCTGTGACTGTCCCCATGGAGGTCACAGTGAAAGGCATATGCGGATACGGACGCATGATAATTCATGAAAGTCTGCTTTGAACGGTACATTGGAGGATACCACTAACTCCAGCTCGTACACATTGAAGTCACCGGCAATGAGAATATGGCTGTACCTAGAGTGTTTTTACCCAGTTTAAGGAGCGCATCAAGCGGGAATCCACTTCCAGATTGGATTTTGGGTGGGGGTATACGAAAACTACGAAACATGCGTAATTGTGTCTGAGTTGGAGACGGCATCAGAGTGAGTCATGAACGTGAGTTTCCGGATTGTCAACTATTACGCATTGCAGGTCACTGTGGTAGTAGACAGAGACCTCACCTCTCCAGTTTGGATTCTCGTTTCGATTGAGCGGCATTACTACTATCTCGACCTCAGCATATCCGCGTAGGGGTGGGCGTCCTCGCGGTATACTCAGCCCGCGCGCGACTGGTGTTGGTTGCGCGGCAGCGAAGCGCGGTTGCGGCCTACAGCTGACACATTTATTTTTTTTATTATTTTCGACCTCAGCATCCGCAACTTCATGGTGTAACAAAATTTCAATACTGGGAATTAGGTCACAAACATTCGCAACCTGACCCATTGGAATTCGCTAAGTTTACCGAGGAGCCCTTGGCGTTCGTGTATATGCATAATTGATTGTAGCAATGTGACGGAGATTGTACAGTTCATAGTTGAGATTACGCCGACCAGCGTGTGGGTTGTGAGTAATTGTTTTTTTCGTTGGGTAATTGCCGACTGTTTCGGCGTAAGACTCATCGGCTTCGTAAGTTATCCCAACTGTAACCTTGTGTGTACATCGTGAGAAGTTCAGTCATTCATTTCATCAACAGGCTGTATGGACTCATCGAACACACGGCTGGCCCACTGTTCTATTACAATTCCCATTGCGTTTGGTCCATTGGGTGAGATATCATCTCTGGAGGTCATATCGTTTGTTGCCTTCAGCTGAAACACAGATGGTAGCCTGCAACGAAATCAGCACTACATGTACAGATTTAACCGCAGTGCTGAATAGGTTACTGATTACGTCCCACTGGTTCAGGTCATCCGGCTGTTGTTGTTTCTTAATATCTTCAGACGGGTCACGGGTAGTGATTGACTTACTCGGTGATGTACCGCTGGAAACCAATGGTCCTTGCACCAGGAGAACTCCCTTTCGCTCCTCAGTTTCCAATCGATTGATTGGTGTTGCTGATTTCAAATACCACCGCTTCTTGGAAGCAACTGTTACCCAACTTTCCCTCTTCTCGGCTTGCTCTTTTGCTTATGCACTCAGTCGTGCGATTGGACAAAGCATTAATATAGTTACCCCGATCTAACTTAGATACGCATTAGTAGAATGTGAGTCGCTTGTCGTATTGGAATGGTACTTGATTTTCTAGTCCATAGGTGTCAGTTTGCTTTCGGTGTCACCAGCCGTTCTGCTCATGCTTGGAGTAGCACTTACTTGGGAGGCCTGGGTTTCAAACTCCACTATGTTTACCCCAACTGCTGTGATTATTGTGGTCACAATTTCTTCAAACTTGACTAGTAATCGATCATACTTTTTAGCTAATAATAGGAGCACGCTTTTTAGCAATGGATGGGCTGCATTCCACACAGAATCGGTGAGGATCTGATTTACTGTTATAGAAACAGATGAAAAGTAGGCATCAACAGTAACTTTTTTTTCCAACTCACCATACCGTATGCTACAGGTAACCCAACTGTTGAATCTGCATGACAGTAATCACAGAATGATGCCGGTGTGTGTGATGAGATATAGCCGTATGTGCATTGAGATACTTCTGATCCTCAACCAAAATCTTCTCCTCAAGGAGACAGGTCATAAATGACAATACTGCAGTGGACCATAGGAGAATTCATCTTCACACACTCACTGATATTTCGTACCGCGCCGCTCTGCCACATAAACACGCACTGACAATGTAACCTCGGTTGGTGACGTAACGTTTGCAGTCAAACTGCCGAGCTCAGAGAACACTCAAACCGCCAATTCATCTTCACTTAACGGGGCAGTGCTCGAATTGCATCCCTTATCTGGGGACCACAGATTGGTTGTCCATTAGTTAACCACGAACCAATCTGCTAAGAGTAACTGGATATTTTCGAAAACACAGCTCAGTGGCTCGGAGAAGTATGCCAGTTTCTGCATAGCCTTAAAATACAGCCTTTTTTCGACGCAAAATATAACTTGAGAGTATTTGAAGGTTAAAATACTAGGAATGGGACTTAAGCTGTTTATTCACTCTTCTATACCGTAGTAATCGCATGGATAGTAACCCGAAGCTGATTATTTAATTTTGACGGGCCCACGTATTTCTGTAATCTTTTCTACCTCTCTACTTTTGACATCCCAACATACTACGCTTACCTGAAAATCGTCACTAGTAAATGGCCTCTATTATATTGTTATCTTTTCCCTGTCATCTTAGACTTCCTCGCGTTTCGTGCCTTGTATGCAGTTTGGTTCTCTTGACCAAATTAAACATTATTCGTTCTCTGTCGTTGGTTTCTCGTCAATTACCTCATTTCTTACGTGTCCACTTTTGTTCCTCCTTACTCTGCAAGGAGGAGGCTCCTCAGGGGTTTTTCGATGATCAAGGTTGGCATCTGCATGCAATTTGTCCATTTTTGTGTTTCTGTTGTTTGTCCTCTACGCAGTGTCCACCTTAGTTCTCGCACATCAACGCACATTTCAACATTCACATTTTAATGGCACCGTAGTCGTGTTCACCACGTTGTTGCAGCACTTTATTGGTGTTCGGCACAATTCGACGACGATGTGTTTATGTGTGGTTTTTGTCCTCTTATTTCCCAGGAGGAGTGTAAAACCAGAGAGGAACAGGCCGATATCAGCGTAATTGACGTATCCGAGTTTTGAGCGCGTGTTTACACCGAGCTTTAATCCTCCCTTCCATCCCCTACGGAGCAAACTGCAGTTAACTTCCGCTCTGGCTGTGATCCCCAATCGTTCTCCCACGTGGCTGTGAAATCACTTTTTGATTCACTTTGCACTTTTTTCGTCCCTTATTCTACTATGGGTCATTCGGTATTCATTCCAACTCATGTTGCACTCGCTTCTCTGGTGCCTTGTTGCGTACTCTTTTTGTGTTCCATGCATTTTTGATCTGGATCTTCGGATCTGACTTCTCTCGTTATCCGATTTTCTTTGTTAAAGCGGCTTTTTTTAACTGACGTTCACAGGCCGTCTCAACTGAACTCCAGTTGCGACTCTCTCCGAGTTGACACTAAATTGTTAACTTACGGTGAAGCTTACTTTAGATGCTACGCCCGGCGACTATACTAAAGAACTGCTGCCGTTATCATATTAATTGTCAGTTCTGCTTCGAACTTTCATCCGTGTCCCCCTTAGCTGACGTTAGTACCGTACCACGTAGGTCTTTATTCGGCTTCCTAACGTTCCCGCTAGTTACTACATGCCGCAGGATGATTATAAACACCGGGACATCGTTATCCGCCTTCTCCAGGTCACTTCTCACCGTACACTTGCAGTATCCGTTGCATGGGCCAAAGCCTCATGATATTGCGAATGCTTTATTGAAGTCAACTTGCCCCTAACAATCCGGTACCTGGCGAACTCAACGGTCGATAATGACCGAAACGATAAGACAACGGGCGTCTTCAATACGCGCTTTTAATCCTTCATCACTCCAACTGCTTCGCGTTTTCAAGCGACAATTCTTTTAAAGGCTTCCATACAAGATTGTCATGTTTTTTCACTTGCAAATGCTTCGTATGTTTTCGATTTTTCATTTCCCACTGCCTGTTGTAACCACAGTCCAAATTAACAGATTTGGTTTCTTTCCATGCGAAGTACCATTCAAACAACTTGGGTCGTGATGCTACCTTCGAAAACGTATTTTAATAAATAAGTACAAATCTGTTTATTTGTTATTTTCACCTAAATCGCATATCTCGAGTCCAGATTCCGACCCTTGGCCCACGGTCGTTTTTACTGAGCACGCTTCACATATTGCAATATCTCTGAACTCATCAAAATCATCCTTTGTAGTAGCCGGGAAACAAACCTGTTCCCTCAGGAGCAGTGTACCGTCTACTTTCTTTCCATTTATATTCTGCTTTTCATACTCACCGGGCGCATCATCTCGTATTCTGCTTCATTATGCCTAACTTCACT